AATTTGGTTACCAGTGCTTTCCCTAAACTCTACAAATTTTGTCATCCTTTAATTTTGTTGCAGGCTGCTTCTCTAAATTCTAAACACTTTGTCTTCCCTAAATTCTTCTGCCCGGTGGGGCCATACGAACTTTGGCGCCCAAAAGATTACATTTAGTCAAAAGATTTACATTATGGTGGCATGGTGGTTATGTGCTTGGTGTATATCCTTGAATTGACATGACTCCATTTACTTAAACATAACCTTTATTTCACACACACCATAACTTTAAACACAACTGAAATAACATGACGAAATAACAAAACCACTAAATTAAAATTCAAAACATCCTATGCTGCAGCTAAGGGCAAAGTGAGTGAGTTCACTGCCGCGCTAGCAGTTTTTACATAAACAACTTGACGTGGATTGGCTGCGCACGCAGTCGAACATTAGATTGCCACAGAGTATCCCCCCAGTGACACAGTCACGACATAAAAGGGGTTGGCTGTAAATTTCCAATTTAAGATATGCACATTCAAATAACAGTTATACTTTAAAATTGTACGCACAAAAAGAAATGCAAATATATGAATAGTAATAATACATTTACAATTCTTATTGGAATATATATTCATACAATGCATAACTTAGTTAAACAGAAATAATGAAAAGTTAATAAGTATTTTATATAACTCATTACGTATGCAAAAATAATTATTCCAAGTATCTATACATTGTAACATTTGCAGCAAACCACAAGAGAAAACTTCAATCATATTACAGTAATTAGTTTTTTTGGAAAATGAGCATGACGTCCACTTCGGGTAACTACTTGTTTTGGAACAATTTTTGAGTCTTCGCAGACTTCCTGTGGAAACTAAGGAATTACAGGTGAATTTATACATTCTGACAACATATATGCTAGTTTTAAATGATCGATTGTGACTGTAATCTTTTTGTTATTTACCTCAATAATAAAATTTTTATCCATTCGTTTAACCACGGTATGAGGACCAGTGTAAGGTGGAGTTAAAGGTGGTTTAACAGAATCGATATGCAGAAATACATGAGAACAGGTTTGAAGTGCTGGATGTACATAAATTGGTGATTAAATATGCCTAGAAGTTGGAATAGGTCTAACTAAATGCATGACTGATCGAAGTTGTGACACATAAGATTCAGTAGGCGATAAAATATTTGTAGCATTCAGCATAATCTGACGGTAATCTAAGTGTAGTACTGTAGACAAGTTCAGCACAAGTAGCATTTATATCTTTCTTTATGGCAGATCCAACAGAACAATAGGCAGAATTTCAGTCAATTTTGGGTTGTTATGAGCCATTATTGAACTTTTAAGTTGCCTATGAAATCTCTCAATCAGTCCATTGGACTGAGGATGATAAGCAGTAGTTCTAATGCGATGTGTACCCAAAATTTTCATTAAATCCTTAAATAAGTGAGATTCAAAATTTCGGCCTTGATCAGTTTTTATTGATACCGGGCAGCCAAATCTTGCTATCCAGTTATGCACTAACACTTTGCAACTCGTCTGAGCTGACACGTCAACAGTAGCTATGACTTCTGGCCATCTGGTAAACCTGTCAATAATTGTCATGCAATAACGGTTACCTTCAGACGATGGAAGAGGACCTATGAAATCAATATGGATATGTGCAAATCTTGCATCAGGCAAGGTGTTTAGTAATTAATTTTTTTGAAAAATACCAGCACGAGAAAGACAGTGAATCTTCTGAAATATTTTAGAGCGAAAAGATTCAGGTATGAACGGTCGAGGTATACCTGTGTCCATATTACAGTAAAGAGTAACATCTTCTAAAGGAAAGTAATGTTTCTCAAGTTTAAAAGCTGGTGAAGATTGAGATAAGGAATTTTGAATTTCAAAGTCCTGAATTATTGCTTCGGATAACTTTTTATAATCAATGTATTGATTATCAGATACTGCATCTATTTCTACCCTAGATAAGGCATCAGCAACGATATTGTCACGACCTTTGATGTATCGTATGTCAGTGGAAAATTGGCCAATAAAATCAAGATAACGGAGTTGTCGTGGAGAACACTTTTCGGGCTTCTGCTTAAAAAAGCATATATTAAGGGCTTTTGGTCAGTGTGTACATTGTAAAGGACCCTGCCTTCAAGCATGTGCCGAAACTTCCTAATAGACAAACAAATATCCCTTATAGACCCTTATAATCCCTTATATAATCCCTTATAGACAACAATAGTTCTCGATCATAAGTTGACCATTTCCTTTGACTTTTGCTGAGTTTAAACGGATAGAAACGCAATGGGTTCCCAAACTGAATTATGCAGTTGCATTAATGAGCTACCAACCACAATGTCCGATGCATCAGTACAAAGTTTCAAAGTCGCACTAGGAATTGGGTGTTTGAGAAGGGTTGCCTCAGCAATTGCCTTTTTAGTATTTTCGAATACCTTTCTCGGCTTCGTCGTTCCATTCGAGAGGATATTCTTTTGTTTTGCTTGGTTGTGAAAGTTTCCTTTATTAATGCGGCCTTCCAGTAACCTATTCAAGGGAGCTAAAACATGTGAAGCTCTTGGGACAAAGCGTCTGTAAAAATTAAATATGCCAAGAAATTTCCTTAACTGAGTTAATGTATTTGGTTTAGGAAATTTTTGAATAGCTTCTACCCTCTCAGGTAAAGGTTTTAAACCCTGTTCAGATACATGAAAACCCAAAAATTCCAAAGAAGTTAAACCAAAACTGCATTTAGGTACATTAAGTCTTAACCCATAATTACTTAATCTTTCAAAAAGGGCTTTTAAGTGTATCAAATGTTCATTTTCGTCTTTTGACGCTATCAATATATCGTCGCCAAAAGCAAATACTCCTGGCAGCTCGCGAGTTACTTCATCAATAAAGCGTTGAAAGGTTGCAGCTGCATTGCATAACCCATATTGCATTCTTGTGCTCTCAAAAAGTCCAAAAGGAGTGGCAATAGTCGTTTTATGGATATCAGAGGGATTAATTGGAATTTGGTGATATGCTTTAACTAAATCTAATCGAGAAAATACCTTTGTTCCATGTAAATCCACTGCAAAATCGCAAATATTGGGAATAGGATACTCATCCTTCACTGTCTGGGCGTTTAACCTCCGAAAATCTCCCACAGGTCTCAATTCGTTTGTGCCCTTTTTTGACACCATGTGAAGAGGAGAGGAGTAATTACTTTTGGAGGGTCGCATGTGACCTAAATTGATCATTTTCTGAATTTCATGCTTAGCTTTAACAGAATATAAATGGTGTTAATTACACTGCAATTAATTTTTAAATGTGTTTTTAAATCAACAAGTTTTTTGTTCCTTAAATCAGGTAATAAATCAAAATAATGCAAGAAATCAGATCCAATAATATTTGTCGATACTTTACACACATAAAAAGTAAAATTACGACAAAGTCCAAGGTCAATACTTAATGCTTTTTGTCCATAAACTGGAATAGGGGTACCATTTGCTGCAGAAAACGTTGATAGGTGTTTGGCGTGCTTCCTGTCTTGTTGCTGAAAGAAGACTGACGTCTGAGCCAGTGTCGCACAAAAATATTCTATTTGATTTCCTGTCTCTAATGAAAAGGCGACGAGACTCAGAGGGTAAAGCGCATGTTGCCACTACACTTTCCCTGGCACATTTCCCTGGAATGTACATGGTGGAACACACTTTTTAGCTTTATCGCTAAATTTATGATGATACCAACAATAGGAACAGTTCGAAGCAGCTTTAGCTGAAGGGCTTCGTTTCCTGTTATACAGTCAAAAGTCGTTAATTCGGACACCCATAATCTGGAATGATCTATAATCCGGACCTCAAAGCTACAAACTTTCTGCGCATGCGTTGCGTTCACGCATGCGCACAGGCTTTTACGAGTGCGCATAAGACCTTTATGGCTGCGAATATGTTTGTGCGCATGCGCGTGTAATGTGTAACGGAGGTAAGCTAAAATTATCTAATTCAGTTAATGTTGCAGATTGCGTTGTTCCTTAATCTTCGAATTGGATCCGGCTTATTATTTTTTGCAGACTGTTAGAGCAATTTCATAAAAGTAAGCTTGAACTTTCGATTATGTCAAATAGAATTTCCGATATATATTTACTAATATGTAATTTGTATCTACAAAGCGAAAGTATGTTTTGAAATCCGAAATCTGTTTATCAATTTCACCCGCGGATTGGAAGTTGATCTGTCAGCACTATCCTTATCTTCAGAGCAGATGTTTTTATTTTATTTGGCTTATAATTCCTTACTAAGTGTAGTATTTCATCTCCGGTCTTTGATATGATTTAAATCAAGTTCCTCGTCATTATAATTCGCTTCCGATAGTGAAGAAAGTGACCCAGAGGTTATTGAAAACGAAAACATTTCGATTGACAAATTAGTCGGTATTCTCAACACAGCAATTATAGGACTTGAACAGCGGAACTTTGTAACTAAACAAGAAATTATGTCTGTTTAATAGAATTAAAGAGGAAGTATTATCACATGAAACGAAGCAACTTACATTGAAAGAAATGTGTAATAAAGTAAACAAAGAAATATTAAGCTTTTTCTGTTTGTAAATTTTGATACCCTTTAGATCATAATTGTTCTTTATTTCATAAATTACGGTTTCATATTTTTAATTTTGTAATTTCTGCATGCCATCTTACCAGATTTAAACTGATGATCTATAATCCGGAAAAATCGATAATCCAGAATCACCGAAGTCCCGACGAGTCCGGATTAACGACTTTTGACTGTAGTGATTTTTGGAAGTACTGCATGATCATCGTAGAGACAAAACCTCGCTATGCAATTTGCACATTTCCTCTATCAGGGAATCCAATTTAGAATTCTCAGAGACATTGAGAGGTACACAAGAAGAAACTTCGCTTACCTGAGCGGGTGTAACTTCCAATATTCTATCCGCGATACTGGCAGCTTTCGATTAATCGAGTGGCTCAACCGACGCTAGAATAGACAGAACATTTGGCGGCATCTTGTGCATGAATAATTCCAGCAACAAAGAGTCAGGCACGTTGTACTTTTCAACCATCCTAGTCATTACTCGCAGAAGTTCTGATGGCTATCTATCTCCAAGTTGCTCGCCGGTGAGTAATTTCCTTATTTCACTCGTACTGCTTTCACCACAGCGTTCCGTAATAGCAGCTTTGAGGTCTTCGTAAGAAGAATCTGTATGTTCCTGGAAAATGATATCTCTAACCAACGCAGCAATTTCCGGCGGCAAATGAGTGACGCAGTAGTTAAATTTCGTCTTTGAATCCGTGATAGGCTTGGGTGCGGTTAAAGCAAAAGTTGCTTCACACATAGCAAACCACAATATCGGGTCAATCAGATTGTAAATTGGAATCTTCACAGCTGCTTTTTCCTACATGTCAGCGGCTGAAGGGAAAAAACACAAAAGTTCTGGAACCAAGCTCTTGAACGAACAACCAGTATAAGCTTCATGCGAGTAGCCGGATCGCCATTTTATGGTGGCATGGTGGTGTTGTGCTTTGTGTATATCCTTGAATTGACATGACTCAATTTACTTAAATGTAACCTTTATTCACACACAGCATAACTTTAAACACAACTGAAATAACATGACGAAATAACAAAACCACTAAACTAAAATTCAAAATATCCTATGCTGCAGCTAAGGACAAAGTGAGTGAGTTCACTGCCGCGCTAGCAGTTTTTACATAAACCACATGACGTGGATTGGCTGCGCACGCAGTCGAACGTTAGATTGCCACAACATTTACATCTAACAAAATCTGTTTTTAGCATATAGAAAGAAGTTTTTGTTAAATTTTTCCTCGTCAACATTTCTTAGCATATTTAACTTAAAAATCTAATCATCGCAAAGCGTAATGTCAACATAAAAGGTTACCATACTGTTTGTTATTCAGTTACTAATATATATAAGAAAATTGTTTAGGCATTGCTGCATGAGTCATGACTCAAATTGTCATGTGTAGGATAAACATGTGAGGATGAAAGCCAAATATAATAAATAATGATTCGCTAGGTTGGCATCAGGGTTATAAAATATTAGTAAGTGTTAAATCAATGATGTTTCTGTGCAGAATGTATCTGTTTGAGATGTATGCAACACAGATATGCAGCTAAGGAGTTTACTTATTGATCTTACAGATCTATGCTAAAAGGATTGTTTCTTCAATAACATGGAATTTTTAGTGCTGAAGTGAAATTAAGAATCGGAACTCTCCACATTTTATTTTTTTCGGCTGGGACCGAATGTGCATGCATAAAGCATACAAAAAAAGAAGGTGGTGGCTTTGAGGTCCGGATTTTAGATCATTCAAGATATTGGATCTCAGGCTTTGTGTATACACAAAAGTATATATACACACACATATATATATTTATTTGTTTACAATATAGTACTTATTTGCACTGTGTAATAGTTTCCTGGACAAATACAGTACAAAGTCTTTAATCCGGACTCGTCGGGACTTCGGCAATTCCGGATTAGGGATTTTTCCGGATTATAGATCAATTTAAATCTGATAAGATGGTATGCAGAAATTATAAAATTAAAAATATGAAACCGTAATTTATGAAATAAAGAGCAATTATGATCTAAAGGGTATCAAAATTTACAAAAAAAAAAAAGAAAAGAAAAGAAAAAAAAAAAAAGAAAAAGAAAAAGAAAAAAAAAAAAAAGCATAATATTTATTTGTTTACTTTATTAAACATTTCTTTCAATGTAAGTTATTTAAGTTGCTTCATTTTATATGCTAATACTTTCTCTCTAATTCTATAAACAGACATAATTTCTTGTTCAGTTACAAAATTCCGCTGCTCAAGTCCTGTAATTGCTGTGCCGAGAATACCGACTAACTTGTCAATCGAAATTTTTTCATTTTCACTAATTTCTCTGTCACTTTCTTCATGCCTTTATCCATTTTTTGCAGCAATTCCACTTTTTGTTTGATGGCCATCGAAACATGCCTTCCCTTTGTAGATCCTTTCGCAGCCCCAGAATTGGAAACTCTTTTTGACATGATCAAAAGTTCAAGCTTACTTTTTATAAAATTGCTCCAACAGTCTGCAAAAAATAATAAGCTGGATCCATTTAGAAGATTAAGGAACAATGCAATCTGCAACATTAACTGAAATAGATAATTAGATAATTTTAGCCTAGCTTATATTGTCCGTTATATATTAAACGCGCATGCATAAATGGTACGCATGCACAGAAAGTTTGTAGCTTTGAGGTCCGGAATGTAGATCATTCCGGGACGTCTGGATTAAAGACTTTGTACTGTATTTTTCTTGTCCATGTAAAATCATAGATCAAGATTCTATAGCATTCTGCATGTCTTATTAAGTTCTTTAATTAAAAACATGTCTAATTTGGTCTTTAAGTGACAATCATAATTTTATTTTTATTTAAGAAATATAACATTTATATATACTTGGGAGTTTTAATTTTATGTTATAATATCTGTAGTTAAAGTAATTTAAATATTATCAAATATAGCTATGTTTTTAATTTACAGTACAAAGTCTTTAATCCAGACCTCAAAGCTACAAACTTTCTGCGCATGCGTAATGCTTACGCATGCGCATATGTGTTTACATATGCACATATATGCGCATAATATGTTTATGCATACGCGTTTAATGTATAATGGGCAGTATAGGCTAGGCTAAAATTATTTAATTATCTATTTCAGTTAATGTTGCAGATTGCGTTGTTCCTTAATCTTCTAATTGGATCCGGATTATTATTTTTTGCAGTCTGAGCAATTTTATAAAAAGTAAGCTTGAACTTTTGATTATGTCAAAAAGAGTTTCCGATTCTGGAGCTGCGAAAGGCTCTACAAAGGGAAAGCATGTTTCGATGTCCATCAAACAAAAAGTGGAATTGCTGCAAAAAATGGATAAAGGCATGAAGAAAGTGATAGAGAGGTTAGTGAAAACGAAAAAATTTCGATTGACAAGTCAGTCGGTATTCTCGGCACAGCAATTACAGGACTTGAACAGCAGAACTTTTTAACTGAACAAGAAATTATGTCTGTTTATAGAATTAAAGAGAAAGTATTAGTACATAAAATGAAGCAACTTAAACAACTTACATTGAAAGAAATGTTTAATAAATTAAACAAATAAATATTAAGGTTTTTTTTTGTAAATTTTGATACCCTTTAGATCATAATTGCTCTTTATTTCATAAATTATGGTTTCATATTTTTAATTTTATAATTTCTGCATGCTATTTTACCAGATTTAAATTGATGATCTATAATTCGTAAAAACCCTTAATCCGGAATCGCCGAAGTCCGGATGAGGTCTGGATTAAAGACTTTGTACTGTATATATTCCTGTATTTATGAAATATTATTCAAGGTTTAAAAAAAAAAAAAAAAAAAAAAAAAAAAAAAAAAAAAAGAGGCTGGTCTAGTAAATCACTTTACTTATAGAATCAGTTCTCCGTGGCATGATTACCTTCAAAGTAGTTCCCTTCAGCATTCACACGTTTCTGCATTCGGTACTGCCATTGCTGGTAACAGTTCTGGAACGAGGTTTTTGGAAGGCCCATCTGGAGATTCTTTGTTTTTGTCTGAACCTCTTCAGCTGAGGTAAAATGGGTGGTTCCCTTTAAGTAAGATTTAACTTCAGGATATAAAAAAAAGTCACATGGAGCCAAATCAGATGAATAAGGAGGTTGCCCCATCACGGTAATATTTTTACTGGTTAGAAACTGCTTGACAGATAGGGCCGCATTAGTGGGTGCATTGTCCTGGTGCAACAGCCATCCATTACTCCACAACTGTGGCCTTTTCTTTTTCCCCTAATTTTTTAAGAGGTCCTTTTAGTACTTCAATGTAGGAGTGTTGACTAACAGTCTGACCACTGGGGGAGGGCGCCCGGCACGTTCATTATCTTCCACACTGTCCCTTCCTCCTAAAAACCACTTATGTCATTCAAAAACACGTGCATGAGATAGTTTCATCTCCGTAAGCCTCGGTTAGCATTTGAAATGTTTCCTCTGTGGTTGATTTCTTACGTTTCACAAGAAACTTTATGTTGATTCACTTTTCGGTTTTTACATTAGACATTTTTCCGGCAGAATGCAGTTGCACATTTTCGCTCAATGACACAGTACTCCCTGCTGGCCTGGTCGATTAAGTCAAAACTAACCGCATTAATAGAGGAAGTGTGTCGCATGACATCACCAAAATAGTTGTTGCCAACTCCACTCTGTTTTTAAGCTACACACTTAGTCTCGTTTATTTGAGTCACACCTCATATCTATTTTGTTTTACTTTTGAGCATTGTGAATAATAATCAGAATTACGCATTTCTTTTAACTCATTGCAAACAAGTTGTCTAGATGCAAATATATTTTTATTTATCGTATTCATTCTTACAAATATGTGCATATAAGAATAAATTCATTTATTATACCTTAATTTCAGATAACTCATCCTGCTGGCTGTTTTACCCAATTCATGCATTTTTTTGGTGAAAGGATATTTGTTCTGTGGAAATTAGCTCTATTAAAGAAACGTATTATATTTTTTTCACCTCCACCAATTGGTGTAGTCTGTTACAGGGGTAAGTACTCAAACAACTTTTCTATTATTATCGTAAACTGTCTGCAAGAATATTCTTAATAAGAGAAGATGTACCATATATTAATCTTTTTTTTTTTTTTTTTTTTTAGTGTATTGTACTATATCTCTTACTGCACATCGTATGTCTGAAATTGGGCAGTGGTCTGCACAGCCATTCTTTTATGTTAATATTGCAGATATGGATACTTTAGGATCAGAAAAAGTCTATGTAGCCTGTGAGTAGTTAATGTCAATATGTTGTGAAATTTATGTGTTTTCAGAATTTTTTTATTTCTGTGCAATATTCTATACATATATTTTTTTATATATAATAGTAATATTCTGTGTAATATAAACAGATATTTTTGTTATTATTTTTATGATTTATTCATGGTATTTGTATTTTTAGTGGGAGGTTTTATTTATTCGTGAACTGCAATTTTTAGTATTCCTCATATTCTTTAAACAGATAACATTTGTTTGCTACTTGAAATCAACATACTGCCACTACATTATTTTTAACTTATAATCAATTGCATATGAAATTCATGTATGATAATAATTTGCTTTCTCATATGGCTTCCATTTAAAAGGTGTTTTTAAAATATACTAATTATTTTCACTAACTTAACTAATTTCTTTAAATGTGCTAACGAAAGGTTAAGAAGAGGAATGAAAGTCTGCAGATTCTATGAATACAACATGCAGCATTTTTGAATTAGAGTTATTAGGGATTGTGAAGATATTGCTTGTTAAATTAGCATACATAGAATTTCAAATATTTTTTCATTCCTAATACTTGAAAGAATTATTGGCATGCATTCTATGTATGCAATTATTAGCATACATAGAATTTCAAATATTTTTTCATTCCTAATACTTGAAAGAATTATTGGCATGCTTTCAGAATATTTTAATCTTATTCCGTTTCTTATAAATGCCAGTACATTGCCATTTAAATAATACTTAAATGCAAAAAAAAATTTTTTAGTTTTAATTTATCACTTGGATATTAAAAACCTGGTATTTGTGAATGAAAGAATTTGAACCTGGGTAAAAAAAGATATTATAATTTTTAAGAAGAAATTTGTCCTATAATTTAATATTAACTGTTTTTAAAAGCTTTTCAATAAGCTGTAAGCTTTTAAAAATAATTAAAAGCAAATAGCTTTAAAAAATAGTGTTAATATAGATGATATCTAGAGATACGTAATTTTTGCATCGAAGAAGTGGAAATTTTACATAAATGAAAAGTCAGGAATGGAAATTTCTCATTTATTGATCCGTAGAATAAATTAATTAATTTAAAAAAAATGAAAATCTGTTTATGCAATCAGATAAACTATTGGACTAATATGGAAAAATAAATTAATCATCTTCTTCATCAGTCATTACAGCTTCTGACTTCTCTTTTAGTTTTTTTATTGCTTCTTTCTTAGTGAAATGGTATTTACTTACAACTCAAAGTATATACCACTTTGCGGTAGGAATCTCCTGAAGGAAGCTTATCTGAAACAGTTTCATATCTTATTAAATAATTATCGACAGGTGAGTGTTCCGTTTGATATAGCAGAATATTGGCTTTTTAACAAATTTTCTCCATATCCTGAACAAACTCTTCTTTTTCCAATCTTGCATTATTTTGCACTCGAAAACACCTACTGTTGTAGTCTCTAGTCTGCTACTTAATTCTCTGCTCATCTAGGTGGGTATATATTTCTTCTTTAAATGAGTACATTAGTTTTATGTTTTGTTTAGGGTATTCCTTTCTGGTCTTCTGCATAAAGATTGCCAAATGATGTGTGTGTCACTTAAAAAGAAACCCTCTTATGCAAACTTCTTTGTTCTGTCAATTATTTCCTCTTTATGGTGACCTATATTGATAAAAATTTATGATCACTAAGTTGAACTATGTGCTTAGAAAAGAAAATGAAAGAAACATGGGCTTATTCGTTAGTTTATGACATGATTAGAATTTGGCAAGCTTTAGGCATGACAAACCAGTTTGTGACACAGTGGAATCAGCCGTCTGATGTAAATGAGTGAGTACGAAAGGGACACAAACTCTGAACAGATGTGAATGTCCAACAAGTCCCTAAACACCAAATATCATGCAAATTAAAGGAATTATTGCTGAATATCTCTTGTTCACCAATTTTTATTAAAAAAGTTCCTAAATAATATTTTCCATTTAATTGCTAATAGTAATAAATTCTGTGTATATTCACATCTGTTTCATGAGTATGAAAATTATCTATCCCTGTTGATAAGCTATGTAAGTATAGATAATGAGAATATTTTTGTCCTTACTTTATAAAAGGGCTTGCATCATATATTTTTGATAATTTCCAAGGTCCTTTCTCTAATTTCTCTTTCTTGCTTATTATTATTGAATGTGCTTATATTACTTATATAATATATATATAAACCAGAATTTGTTTAGGCATTCTAAAATTCTTTTTGTCCTTTAGAAGTTATCACTAATTTGATTCTGATATAAATAAATTCTCTGTAAGTATATGAATTATAATTAAAGTACTTAGAAAAAAATCTGAAGTGCTTTGTTAAATATTGCTAGAACAAATTGCATGAAAATGGGTTATAATTTTATTTTATTGAAATTAGGGATAGGAACAGATAACTTTTCAATAATGAAATGTGTTTGTTATAATAATTTAAATATGTATATCTTATATATATGAGTGGAGGAAAATTACATGAATTTAGGGCTTTTATTTTAAAAAAGATTTATAAATTTACATTATTTCTCTTCCAACAAGTAAAACATACTTATTTTGATAAATAATACATAACATAAGGAAATAGTATTTACTTACAGCTTAAATATATCTTTATAGTCTACTATGTTTTCCTCAATTTTATGTTTTACATATTGTTTAGAATGGACTGCTTGAGTCAGCAAATCTTAAAGGAGGACTATCATTCCAATATAGAATAAAAAAAGGAAAATGCAAAAAAAAAAAAATGTGTTTAGACCTTTACAAATGAGTCAAGCACCTCATATTTTAAAGAAATTAAAATAAACATAAATTATATTATTTTAAGAAATTAAAGAGTTTACTGATTTAATATCTAAACTGTCAGTCTTATGCAGAAAGGTATAATGAATGTGACAAAATATGTATCAGTTATATAGTTTTTTATTTCTTAATGCAGGTTTGTAAATAAGATTATGTAGATAGTGCTATTTCATTAAAGACTATATGAGAAAACTTTAGTTGGTAATGTTTTTTAATTTGTACTTAGGTACAACAGAGAAGATATTTCAGTCAAAAACTTCATTATATGATTTATATGTGGACAATCAGAATTTTGTTAGTGAGATCCCAATGATTCAAAAATTAATGGGCACCAGTTTTGCTGACAGAACGAAATATGAACAGTTATGCAAGCTTCAGTGAGTATATTAAATTTCAAAGTAAATTAGACAGGCTGCTTTGCCTTTGTACATAATTTTTGAAATTTTTAATTAATACTTAAAGGCATTTTAATTCCTTAGGAATAGCTAAAAATGTAATAAATGGGGGGGGGGTATTAAGGTCTCATTCTATGTATTTTTATTTAACTAAAATTTGTAATGAGTCATTAAAACGTTTATCTTTTGTAAAATAATTTTAAAATCATTAAATTCACTAAATGGATTTAAATATTAAAATTATGCTATATTATTAAAATATAAAATAATTACAACGAATATTAAAATAATTAAATGAATGTTGCATTCAAATTAAGGAAGAAGGAAAAGGTAACTTTTTTATAATACCAAATTATTTATATTTCGAACATTTCAGTTTGAATTGAATTTTTACTTCTAAAATCGATAATATGGGAAAAGTAACTTCATAAAACCAGAGTTATCTTTTTTATTTTAAATATATAATTAGTATTTACATGTAAAATTAATAAAAAAAGAAAATTAGAAAATTGTAAAAAAAAGAAAGTGTCATTATATGACATCAAGTTATGTTTATATTTAAATGCTTAAATTCAAAATTTTTTTATGTTGAAAATATTTTTAACAATTATATTTCTAAGTTATACCAAAATTTTTGAAGTATTTTAAATTTATAAATGAGATCATATTTGAAACTGGATTTCAAATTTTACTGCAATAAAAATTATTTTTCTTTTCCAAAGTTGAAGATGTAATAGTAATAGTAGAAGTAAATAACAGATTTCTGTCATTAATTTTATACTTTTACTTCAGGTCTCAAGTAAGTACCCAGCAAAATGATGATCTTAATACAGAAAATGATGAAACATGGTTTATGAGGTTAGTGTTTTGTATTGTACTTGTTAAAGTTTTAAATTTTGAGAAAGTTTTTCAAATGATCTTAAGATTCACTGAATCTTTGTAAAATCATTCTTTGGGACATTGTGTCATTTCTGCTGCTTTATGTATCCAAATGGTGCAGTTTTCTTTTTCTCTTTTTTGCTGGGGGGGGGACTGTTGTTAACTGTCATGGACATCATTTTGTAAAAATGGATGTGTTTTATCAGATATAAATTCATTTTGATGTACTTATTTTTCAGTATATATTTTATATGAAGTCTATATTATGTTGCACCATAAAATTTACAATAATTAAATACCAGTTCTCATTTTTCTGAGTTTTTATTATTCTAGGATTAACAGCTTGACTGCCCAACATGAGATAACTTGTATTAGCGCTCTTCGACAGGACGTCCAATACAAATTATCTCATAGTTTCCTGACATGCCACTTTTGCGCTGTTACGAATTACTTACTTAGTGCTTGTTTTAGCTGTACTGAGGCAACAAATCAAAGTATGTCTGTACGAATCAACTCGTAGTGGGCATCTGCGATGAGCTTTGTCTAAAAAAAGCCGACTACGAGATAATTCATAGGACCCTTTCTTCTTTTAAAAAAAAAAAAAAAAATCCTGTAAACTTTTTAATGATTGTTATGAATCATAATTAGTATTTTTAATAATATAATATGGTTAAATCGATTTAGCTTCTCGGACCGGAATCCGAAAAGTGCTGTGGTAGTCAACGGGTTAAATGAATGATAGAATTATACTATAAAGCATTTGTCCATGTTCTGAATGATTTTGTTTTTATAGTCTCTGAAATATTGGTAATTTTCAGAGTTAATTGCCATCAGAATTTGCCGAATGTTTTTTCTGTGTAAAACAAGTTTAAAATCACTAAGAAAATGTAAGTTTAACTGAATTGAAGCAAAAACATCAAAGAGAATTTTTTTAAAAAATTATCTGGTATTGTCATTTTGTCAACTCCTCCTCTGCATTTTGTATTTTTTTCTTTTGTTTTTTTAAAATGAAGAGCAATGCATAAGATACAAGACTACAATAATCAGTTATTTGTCTGTTTTCTACAAAATATCTTAAAAGATGTTTTGAAAAAAGTAAATAACCATATTATGCTTCCCTATGATCAGTTACTTCTTGATTTTATGAAAGAGCTGTTTTTAGAAGTTATTAAAGTTTTCTATATCTAAATATTTTTCATTTATTTTTTATACTGTAATATTTTTGGAAATGTTAAAGAATTATTTTTGATAAATACCATATTTTTTTAGAAAAGCAAAATTCAATGCAACAATTTTTCACTTAACTAAAAATTTTAATATTTACTGGTAGATTATTATTTTATGTAGGTAACATGTTCTTGTAGAGAATTGTATAATTTTAAAATTATTTTTTTATTTTCTTTTAAATTAGAATATAAGAGTATATTTATACTGAGTTGATTTTCACCAGTTTTTGTTTTTGTTTCACCAATTTCAGGTATTTTATGTCTTTAAATGAGCATTTGTTCAGCACATTACTGAGTGTATCTCGAACCCAAGATAAACAGTGGACTATAGAGCATATGCATTCCATTGGCCTGGATCCCGTAAATGATCGAACATTTATAATGGAATTAGCTGATACTTATGGTATTGATATTGTACCTGCTGCTGACACTTTGTGTTGCACGCCTTAATGCTTGATGGTCATATAAAACTTATATCTCTTAAAACTATTATTCCAAATGTCTAATGTTTATGAGATACCATTAGTGTTGTGTTAAAATACTTACTACTATTTGTGCAATAGATTGTTTCTTTTTATTATCAAAATTACATTAATTAGTGAATAACAATTGAATTCTTGCCATTAGCCTTCTAAAATAATATTCACACACCCACATATTTGTTGAAAGCTATATGCTTTGCATCAGAAGTTAAAAATTTAACTTTTATGTTTGAGTTTATTTATAAAATTTTTACTTTCGTTAGTGAATGTACAGAAATTTATATAAAATTTATTTTTATGTGCAGTCTCTTGTTCTTAAATTATATTTTGAAAATCTGTTGAAAGATATAAACTTACTCTCATGTATAGTATAAGGTAAGAGCATAATCTCTATATTATATGCTTTGTGAATGAAATTATATTTTTTTAAATTTACTTTGATAAGTTCATCTTCATAAGAACATTTTAAATAATTGAATGATTTTCAGCAGATATGTATTTGCATGTTGATAATTCCAAATTTATTTCCAAATCTGCAGTTTAGCAAAGGTACTGATAGTTTTGAATGATTAATCGTGAATATATATCTGATGTATCTTATAAAAAGAAAATAAGGTTTTGCTTTTATATCCTGAATCATTGATCAAATGCATCGTATTTTTAATATAAAAATCATCATAATTCTTAACAGGTCATAAAAGTAATAGCATATGCAGTTAAAAATTCTGCTGTGATAGTTATTGGTTATAATTTCAACCTGTTTTATTGATTTTGCTATTGTTGTCTCTATGGATCTTTTGTTTTAAAGTGATGAAGCTTTCTTGTTTTAACTTTATATAATTTTTCTTCTTTAAGTCGTAATTGTAAATATATTAATCTTAATTGTATAAAAGTATTTAAAGTAATTTGGAAATATTACATTTTAAACATATTTGTTGCTATATTCCTTTTGGAAAATGTAATTTTTTTTTTTAAATTACAGTCTTATAGTTAAATTAATGTTAATTATATACTTTGTATTTAAGACACAATAACACGCCGAATAAATACTAATTCAGAAGTCAAACAACAAAAATCAGCGTTATACCTACAAAATTTTCACAGGACTAGTTTCGATGGTTCGGTAAAACCATCGAAACTAGTCCTGTGAAAATTTTGTAGGTATAACGCTGTTTTTGTTGTTTGACTTCTGAATTAGTACTTTGTATTTATTAAAATTCTAGATATATGCTAATGTATACCATAAAGAATTATAAAGGTGATATGTATAGTTGTTTAACTGAGGTTGTTTTATATTGTGTTCCGTAAAGTGCCAGAGATGTAATGCATAACTAAAATTAGGATTGGACTCCCCCCCCCCCCCGAGCTAAAAAAATCTCATTTTTTTTTCCCTTTCCCCCTATTCTTATGTATTAACTTTTTTAAAAAAACAGCAATGAAATAATAAAAAGGGAGAAAAGGTCGTTTTAATTCAGTTGGTATTAATTTTATATTATTTGTAGTATGACTTTTATTCAGTTTAGTGTTTATTAGAAGGTTAAAATATTGTATAACATCTGTAATTGATATATTTAAAAATATTTGGTACTTAAGTTATGATTTATTTTTAAACATAAAATTATTTGTAGGATGTGTACTTCTATAAATGAAAACAAAGTAAATTTATGAGCTGTGAACTAGTGTTCATTACGTTTAGAAAGGCAAGCTTCAAAAAAATAACTGTGATAAATTGATTTTGTCTATACAGATTTATTTTAGCTAAAAAAGATAGGGATATATATATATATATATATATATACTGAAAGATTAGTCTTTTCTTATTTCTACGATATTAATCTGTAATTAATTAATAAGAAATTAATTTTTGCATTGCAGCAAAAAGAATTAAGATAGATAAGTGTTAAATATGTAATTTGCTTGCATGTAAAAAGTATATGATTTTAATTTATTCGATTTTTTTTTTTTTTTTTTTTTTTTTTTTTTTTTTTTTTTTTTGTTATCCTCAATATTAAAAATGATTACATGATTTTTAAAGAAGGAAAGCATTTTACTTATGATTTTTATGGTACACTGAAATCATGATGTTTAAGAATATTGCATCTCTCTGTTAAGACAATAAATTGTAGATTGTAAAGTTATTGACACAAGTTTTAAGAAGTCTTAAAAAAAAAAAAAAAAAGAGGGAGAAGAAGAAGTATCCTCTGATCTTTGAGATGCCTGAGTTAAGCTGAAAATTTAGTGTCATAAAAACATATTTTATTCTTTGTTTTCAAAACAAACTTTTAAATTTTATTTGTATTCTTTTTATTTCAGTTGTGAGTGTTAGAAAAATGTTTTCACAACCATATTCTTTTTATTTATAGTATTTTATATTTTTGAACTACGAGGCGTATTTGGAAACTAAGTACCGTTTTGAAAAAAAAAAAAATAGTAAAGCAATTTTTTCGAATCCAATTTTATTTTTACATGAAAATACATGTCTTAAACTATTTTTCAACATAGTTTCCGCCAATGATCAAACACTTGTCATAGCAGGTGACCAGTTTTTGTATACCATCATCAAAGAAACTTCCCGCCAGTTTCGATAAACACGACTCCACAGCATTTTTCATGTCATCGTCAGATCCAAAGCGCTTGCCACCAAGCTCGCGCTTCATGTGCAGGAACAAGTGATAGTCGGATGGTGCCAAGTCCGGGCTGTACGGCGGGTGATCGAACTGCTCCCAATGAAACTGTCGAATTAATGATTGAGTGACACCAGCAGTATGGGGCCGAGCATTGTCATGGAGCAACACAATTCCTTTACTGAGCATTCCTCTTCGTTTGTTTTGAATGGCACGCCTTAGTTTTGTTAAAGTTCACAGTATCGTGCCGCATTAATGGTTTCACCTCTGGGAAGAAATTCAGTAAGCAAAACGCCTTTCCTATCCCAGAAGACAGTGCACATGATTTTTTGTGATGACATTGTCACTTTGAACTTTTGTTTCGATTCTGGTGTGAAATGACACCCCCAAGTTTCATCACCTGTCACAATTTGGTTTAAAAAGTTTTCTCCCTCGTCACTGTACTGCGTGAGAAATGTCAGGGCACTACCAAGTCACTTTGTTTTGTGAACATCAGTGAGTATTTTTGGAACCCATCGGGAACACAGTTTGCGATAATTCAAGCGGTCAGACACAATTTCAAACAAAACAGTACGTGAAATTTGTGAAAATGCCTCTGAAAGAGTTGTCATTATGAAGCGTCTGTTCTCATGAATTGCTTCATCAACTTTCCTTACCAAATCATCGGTGACAACAGAAGGCCGACCATTCCGAGCCTCGGCGTGGACATTTGTTGGACCTGCATTAAACATTCTTACCCACTTTCTCACCATTCCATCACTTATTGCGTATTCACCGTAAACTTCTGTCACTTGACAATAAATTTCGGCCGGTTTAACATTCCTCGCGTTCAAAAATTTAATCATGGCACGAATCTCACAGTCAGCAGGAGAACTAATTGTCTTAAACATTTTGAATGTGCACAGCAAACTGAAAGCACAACATAGAGCAACCAAAATGGCGACATATGAAAGTCAGTGAACAAGAAAGACTAGTGCGCATGCGCGGGACACCTACCACAATGTCGCGATGGCACTAGAATGAAAAGGTACTTAGTTTCTGAATACGCTATGTACTTAAAATATTTGAAAAATTTAATGTTCTATTTCAATATTATGCTTATTTGTACAAACTAATTATAGTTATTCAAATATTGTTTTATGAGCCATATAAAAAATCAGTAAATAAATTTTTAACCATCTTTTAAAAAATGTGTGGTTGTGCTTCAAGCAAAAACTAGTTGTAATATTCCCTCATTATATGTGGTAATTTAGTCCAGAATTCAAACTATCAGTCATTTTAACAGTGCTGATTAGAGTTGTATTCATTTAGTCATGCTGAAATACCGAGTTTTATATTAAGAATCATTAATATGGAATTGCATTGTATGATTATTTTTATTTTTTGATATTTTATAACTCAGGTATGGAATGTGCTTTCTGTTTCTAGTATGCCATCTTAAACAGTCATCTTACATTCCATTTTGCAGATATTAAAGTCCCATTTTTTATGTGCTGTTCTTTTCTCTAGTCATATTAATGCATTTTTGTATTGTTATTTTACAGCTGTGAAAATATATTTCTGTATATAAGAAAGAGAGACACAATTTTATGTTATTTGTTTTGCAATATTTGTAAATGGTGTAATATCATTTTTCATTTGTATTATTCAATTTTTGCAATGAATATCTACAACAATAAATATGTTGTTATCATTTCTTGCTTTTCACTATTAAATAAGGTTCACAATTTATGTCATTTGTTTAATAATTTTTATGGTATAGTAATTTGAAATTATGTTTTTTTCTTGTGCAGTTTTTAATAATACATGTTCATGAAAAGGATCTGAAAAAATACTTGTGTATAAGTTAAGAATAAAACTAAAATTATATTTCAGAAATCAGTAAAGTGTAATCAATTTATAGTCTAGTAATCATGCTAGCAATCATTGATCTGTAATAACTTTAAACTCCTGATTATCTGGTGACATGTTTATATTATAAATATGCACATGCAATCAAAAAATATAGATAATCCAAAAAATGTCTATGTATACAATATAAAATGAAATTTATAAATAAAAAGGAAAGGTTTTGAAAAGTCATAAGATTAGAGCTAAAGCACTCCTTTCTTCTTCTTTTTTAAAATATATTTTGCATGTGTTTCTTCAATATGGAAACTGTATGGGATAGAATTTTATTAAAATAATAACAGGTTTTGCATTTTTTTTATTTTTGTTTTGAAAAAAAATTATGTGTATATTTTACTTTTCATTTTATGTGTATGTCTGCAAACTGCTGATATTATTGACACTGTGGCAAAGTGGCTGATATTGCTTAAATGATGATGTCATAATTAATGATATCATTATTAATAATATTATTATGGTATCATAATTAATGATATCATTATTAATAATATTATTATGGTATCATAATTAATGGTATCATTATTAATAATATTATTATGGTATCATAATTAATGTGTAACATTAAATTGAAACTTATTTTGTTGACTTGCTTCTATATGCCTGTTCATATTTGCTCTTTCACCTTCATTTCCTTTTTCCTGCTGTTTCATTTTAAATTTTTATATCCAGCGTAGGCTGATAAATATCTGCTTTAGTCCAACTTATTTACATCCTAACACAAGTTAATTGTTATTCCATTATTTGTAGCTTAAATTTCTAAAATCTTATTTGCAAGTAGCAATTTACCTCTTGCTATTATAGATCTTCATCAGCAAAACATACTTTCCATGTAACATCAAGGATATTCTTTTGCCAGTGCCCTCAGAAATTCATTAGCATTTAAGACTTCAACATCATTCTAAACCTTAGCAGTGAGATTCACTATTTCAAAAATCGTGACTATCATCCAAAACATCCGAAGGTTGTTTTCTTCTTCAAAATATCAGTATCAAAGAGATATTTTCTCTTTTGAAGGCAGCATATGGATGTAAAATTTACAAATGAGTAATCAAGTATTCAGTGTATATTCTCACATACTGACCAGTTTCCTTCCTTGGTGTAATTAATTTTTAATCAAGAATTTTTCTTTTTAATTCTTGTGAATTTTCTTTAAAATGTGTGTTTTATATGTTAAGATAGTAAATTATATGAAAGCTATAATATAGTGGGCACAAGAAGAAAATATTATAGGAAAATATTTTTTAAGCAAGAAATTGTGCTTTTCTTTTTTCCGTGTAATTTAAAAAAGTACCAGTAAAATGGTAATGTGAGCATTTAATGAGATATATTTTAAGTAGCTTTAAATATATCTCACTTTTTAAGCAGCTTTCATTGAATGTTTATATATTGT